GCAGAGTAGCACCTGGGATCCCAGCCGCTGGCCACACTCGGCTTGCCCCGCGCCCTTGTGGCACACTGCCTGGAAGGAGCGTGCCCTTCCCCCCCCACCCCCCAGCATCCCCATTCAGAGAATCCTTCTTGGGGCCCACCAGTGAGCCATGGGGCTCAAGAGACAGCTTGGCCCTATTTTTGCGCCCTGGGGCAGGACAGGGTTCAGGAAGGGGGTGGGGAAGGTGGGGAAGACCTGAGATGGAGACCTCAGAGGCCAGAAGATGCTTTTACCTAAGGGTGCACTCACTGCAGGGGCTATCCCAAAGATCAACTTTTATCCTTCCAGATAGAGGCAAGATACCCTCAATCCCCACCTTCTTTCTGCCTGAAGTCTCTGTCTCCCTCCATCTGCCTCCCAACCCCTCCTTTGGAACCTGAGAACACAGCCTCCTCCAGCCAGATCTGGCCCTCCTTCCTAGAGCACTGGCAGAGTTGCAGCCCTCACCTGTACTGAATCCCAGGTGGGCATTTAGCCTCCTGGACTTTCCTCTCCTCCAGGCCCCGCTTAAAATAACCTTTCTACTCTCTACTCACCTTTTCCAATTCAGAATACGTCTCCATCCTGGATCAAGTCTGCCGTCAAAGCCCATTGCCAGTTGGAATCTCTCGTCTCCAGCAAGGTTTTGAGCCTGGAGTCACTCTCCTACCAGGCCTGCTGCCCCCAACACAGTGACCTTTCTTCCCAGGTCCTGCCTGAGAACCTCCTTCCAGGCATGTGTCTATTGGAACATCTCTGCTGTGTGATCCCAGATTTCTGCCCCATTCCTGTCTCTTTGGATCTCATTCACAGTGCTCCAGGCCTGTGTAACCAGGACTTTGGGGTTGGCTCTGGTCCCGCAGGGCCCCCTTGCCAGCCAGGAGGGCCGGGTCTTATAGGGAAACACATGACTTTTACAACCTGCTTTAGCTGTGGTTTTGTCTCCTCAGTTCCTTCATTTTCAGGACCTGGGCTTGAGGGCACTGCAACTTGATGGCCATCTTCACCGGCGAGCTTCCCTCTGTGTCATCTGATGGTGCTGAGGCAGGCATGGTGAACATTTATTGTGAACATTAAAAATAGTGAAATTTCACATAAGAACTTAGATATCTGACTTTTCTTGAGAAATTGGAACATGTGGTCACACTGGGCCCACATTTCTGCTATTAATCCTTAAATGGGACCTATGCCTTGCAGCTTGCTGTAGGTCCCCTTCCCTTATCCCCAGGAAGCATCTACTATTGTGACCTCTGCAAACACAGCTGGTTCCAGAGAAAGGTGGATGGTGATCGGTGCATGGAAAAAGAGATCACTCCAGAGCCAGCCATCCTGGAGGACTTCCTGTAAGAAGCAGCATGGGTTGAATCCTGAAGGCTGAGGGAGTCCAGCAATGTTTTAGAACCTATGGCATTCTTCCACTCATTCCTCTTGGTGGTGGTTGTGCTTTTGTGCTCCTCGAAGGATGAATGACATCCAACTAGCGGCCTCACAGTCTTCAAGGGTCATGTTCTATAATCTCACACACTTCCCTGCCAGGCTGATGGCATTACCTCAATCCTCTTCTCACTACCATCATTATTTCTTTATTTAGTACTTCATCCTGAACTTAAATTTTTAAAGGATACTTTAAATCACTGAATGAAAAGCCAACATTTCTCCATAAATCAAAAGTATCTGTCAAATATAAATAAAATGAAAAAAATATTTTATGTCAAATTCTAGATACTGCTCGCTGCAAAAGGCACTGATGCTGAAACTGATTAGCAAGAGTTGGGAAAGTGATGAGACAGATGAGCAAGAGCAGGGACCTTCCCTTTGATGCAATGAGAAGGGCAAAAGGAAAAGTGAGAAGGAGTGACACTCACTGGATGATACATGAATTGTCCTAATAGGTCCATGTACGATATTGTCTACACACTTGGGAATACCTGTTCTAGGATATTTTTTGTAAAGAGGCTTTGTCTCCCTGACACACCTGCATCACCCCTGGCACCTGTTCCTGCCCACATCACCCCCAGGTTTCTGGGACTCCACCCAGATAGAGATTCCCCATGAGTGGGAAGCGGACCACTGCTCTTGACCAACCCATCTTTTAGTCCCCACAACGACACTCTGCATGGAGGAGTGGATGAATGGGCAAACATCCATCAAAATGTATGGTTGAATCCTCCATACAGGGGGTCCTTACGGGCTTCTCCCAGCTTTGTGATCACCTGTCCTCAACTATAAACAACAACAAACAGACACCTACTTCTTCACATCTCCATGGCTCATATCTCTCCTCTTCCTTTTCTAGAAAATGCTGCTCCAGCCACTGGTCTTTGCCTCTCCCTCAGGTCCACCTCTTCCTCATTTCTTGCTCATCTATTTATTCATTCTAGACCCCAAAGACTACAGGCCAACTCAGCTCCAACACTTGCTTTGTGTGTGTTATGTGTGTTTGCTTTGAGTTGAACTTAAATGTCTTTAGGTCTGGCTTCTACTCTCTTGCTTGATAGAGTCCCCACCACTCCTTATTGTCCTCCATCTGCCTATTGCTCAGGTTTGTTACTAGCATGGTCCCTGAAGGCCTGGAGTTACAACCCGAATCTAGAACAGCTGCATGTTGAGGGGGAGAGATGAGGACAATTCAGGATGAGCTTGGGCCCTCTTCCCCCTAAAAAGCTTCCCAAGGATGTGAGGTACAGAAAGAGATGGGGGTCTAACATGGTCATCTTGGGTGTCAAAAATTACCATGCATGCCTAAGAGCAGGGACATTAAGAAAAAACAATGTTTTCCTCCATGCCCTCCCCAGCTCTCATTGGGAATGGAGCTCTGCCATAGTCTGAAGGGAGGGGAAGGGCTCTCTGCTCCACCCCTAGCTTCCAGGCCACATGTGCCAGCACAGGCTTCATCAGAGCCATCTGCCCCTGGTGGCCACACAGAAACCAGAAGTTCTTCTGCCCTTTGATCAGGTCACAATCTTTGGCAGGTCCTTCCCTCACTGCATGCTATAAGCAGACCAGATGGAGGCAGTGAGGTTTCACTGTCCTCCCTCTAGACAAGCAAGCTGGGAGCAGTTGGAGGATGGACCTAGACTCTTCCAGCCCCCTGGGGACCTGGATTCAGAGGATAAGAAACTGTAAGGTCTTAGTGACCTTGTCAAGGGACCTATAAAGACAGCAACTCTGTCCTCCTCCACTGTTGGCAAACAGCAGTCACAGTGGCCTCCTTAGATGCACTGACAGAATCCTGGCCAGAAGTGGCCTTGGTAAGCAATATATCAGGGGAATGCTGATTGAACAGAACATGGCAGCCAGATGGACTTCGGGGGGTTCTTGCTGTTTTTTGAGCATCCCTCCACACACACACCCTGACAAGGAGCTGTGTCAGGCAAAACAGGAAAAACGTAGGTGTTTCTAGGCAGCAATTTTTTTCATTGCCATGTTTCACACAGAGTTGTCCTACCACTATTGGAATCAGTTCTGCCTGGAAATGAAAGACAAAGTACTTGCAGTTTGGAGGCTAAGGGATCCAGGAGCAGTCAACACAAGCTATAAGTAACTGTCCATTTGCACCTATGCTCAGCTTAGCAGAGAGGGAGAGGCCCTCAAATTTTCAAGGGATTGTCTGGGTGTAGCAGGGAGTACTGTCCTGGGCCCACTTGTATCTGGATCTAGGCCCCTGGGTCCACCTGTGCCTAACCTCTCACAGAAGTCAGTAGGGCCATCTGAGAAAGGCCTGTGGGTCTCTTAAGATAACTTTGGCTGCTAGTAACACAGCCACCTTAAACATAAGAAAATGCATGGTGTCACATACCAGGTCTGCAAGTATGACAACTCCAGAGCTCAATCTGCCACCTAGGTCTGTGACCTGGACTAGACAAGCATGTCAAACTCATGGCCGGCGGGCCATGTGCCTCATTTAAATAAATGAGGCATGAAGCCCGCTGGCAGCGAGTTTGACATGCTTGAAGTAGAAGAATAGCCAGAGCACATACAGGTTTTCTGCCCTCTCCTAGAAGGGCTGAATGACTCCCTCTTGTCTATGGGCCAAAGTTGGGTCATATGATCATTGCTGAACCAGCTGCTAACTAGGGGCAGGGGCTATTACTGAGACAAACCTGGATT